ATTAATGGAAGCCAATCAAAGCAGCCCCTTCACCTCCTCTCACAAAAAAAATGTGTGAACCCAAAAGTGGCCGCATGTCTGCACTATAGCTAGAAAAGCAGCAGCACAGAAATTCAAGAAAGCTAAAGTTGTCCTGCCAGAAGCTACTGGTGCTGTATGAAAAGAAGTTTTGTGATCCCACCATCTCATTTAATTCTTTCAACACTATCTCGGATAACTCTAAGCAACACTGCAGTCTGAACTACTGAGTCATTTTACAGAGAAAATAGCTGCAAAACCAAAAAAAAGTGATGGAAGACCTTGATGAGATTGGGAGGATTAAGAAAGGGAACCCTTGAGGAGATTCCTTCTCATATAGCAAAAGAAAGGCCTCATGTGGCTTTTGTGAAAGTCTCCTCTTTACTGATGTCGAGGAGTGATTGTCAACTTGGCTTAGTTATGCTCACAGTCAGTCCTTTTGCGTGACACAGAGACATATGTGTGTACACGTGAGGGTTTGGCATGCAAAATAGGCACCTTTCTTATTGGAGAAACAACCTTAACAGCAGATGTTAGTTGGATAAACTAACTTTTGGACAACTTGCCATGGGTCCAACACTTGAACATTCCTCCCACCGTTCTGAAGAGCTTTCAGAAAGATGTGCTCTGTTTCCTCCACAAGATCATCAGCTTACTGTTCGAATCACTGAATGAAATTCTACAGAGAGTGTAATTTGGGCGACTAGATTACATAGTGACATCGGTCCTTCTTGCTTTAAATTTGTGAATAAGTGAGAGTACCATTTTGGTAGTTCTGTCTAATTTCTCATTACTAGCTCCATTATGAAGCCTCTCTCTGAGCGGTTTATGCAATTCTTTCCAAAGCCATTTCTCTTTCCATCTACATCTCTTCCTTGAAGTTAAGTTGCTATATCTAAAATTAAAAATGTTGTCCGGTATATTGGTCTCACAAAAACACATTTTGGAAAGCAAGAGCCATTTTAATTTTAACATTTAACTGTGCAGCCACTCAGTCCGAAATGAAAAAAAAAAAAAAAAACCAAGCCCTAGACTTAATTTTTTTCATAATGAGATCTTTTTAGAACTTTTTGTTGTAGAACCCTGTTATGAAGTCTACTGACTGAGTTTTAACATTTTTGACTGTATGGTTTCACTTTTCTTTTAAAGGTGAATGGAAATGAATCAATTACTTCATAAGGTAAAATTCTAAATAGTGAATAAAGTAAGAAATTTGCAGAAAATACATTTTTTATGTATTTTCAATCACTTTTATTGGGGCTTTTTTGTTTTTTTAAGAAGACAAGCCATCGGTAGTAGGTAAAAGATAAATTAGTGTTTTCCCTTATGGACCTCAAACCCTGTAGCTATTATGAGCTATTTAGAATGGAAATAATCTGCCCTCCAAAAATGAGAGTGCAAAAAAAAAAATCCTCTCCTAGGCTTCCAGCTAGGGTGCATCTATACCTCAGGTATCAAATTATAGGAGGAAAGAAGAAAACAAATGCGGATGGAAGCTAATATGGTCTTCAAAAAATAAACAACCAGGTTTGCTGGAGGTCACTACAGAGAGGGAGGCACTTCCACAGATCTTTGGAGAGTGACTTTCTTCCCTAAATGGTGTGTAATGCTCTCTACTAGTGGAAGAGTACGTGCTAATGCCTGAAAATCCCCCAAAGAGTGCAAAGCAGGAGGTCCGGATGCCTAACAGTTTGATGTTGGCAAATGAGCAGAATTTAGCCAAACTGGGTCCTTTGGTTTTAATATATTCTTAGCATTGTTCAGAGGATATTTACACAGTATTTATACAGTGTTTCCTTGCAAAATACACTACTGCTTTATTAAGCCATGAAGTAAGCAAGTCCTTCGTAGACTTCACAACAATTTTAGGTGCGCTACAAAAATTACTCAGTGAAATTCTTCAGCCCATGTTATGAGGCAGCTCAGGTAAGATGACTATAACATCATTTTATTATGTAAAAAAAATACCACAGTCACCTTTAAATCCTTCTCTTATGTGTCCCTAACTGGGAGCTGAGAAGTATTAGACAAGGTATTCCATACAGAAATTGCCATCTAAGCCAAAAGAGAAACTGCCTGTCCCATGAAATTTGGATCCTCTAAAATTCAGTAGCTGTGCATACCAGCCAAATTCTGGAGCATGTTACATAGAGGTGTGAAGGCTTCTCAGGTGCCCAAGTTAACAAAAAAATTCCAACTGATTTTGCTAATGGAGGCCCAAGCCTCCTGTGGAAAATCTCAGTGAACCTTTATTTCCAAATTCGAGACAGGACCTTCCACTAGATTTCATTATAGCTTTTGTAAAGCAAGTAACACATACTAAAATTAGAAAAGCATGACAAGGGCTGTATAACCATCTTTCCCATTCAGGAAAAAGTGAAATAGGTTTTGTGAATTTATTGTCATGAATTATGTTTCAAGTGTACTACAAGTTTTAGGTGCAGAGCTAGGACTTGGACCAGTTCCAGCTTGCCAATTTTCATTAGTAATTCTTCTTTATCAGCAGTCAGAGTACCACTGTGACAATCTGCAAGTCTCTGTTCAAAATACTGCCTACATCTTTGTATGAATACAGAGAGTTTATTAGGAAAATAAGGACACATAGAGAATGAATACTTTGGGAAATGCAAATGCATATATTTAACATTGACTGTTCTGAACGGGTTCTTGGTAAACCTATCTATAATATGAAGCATAGGATAAATTCTCCTAGAACATTAAACATATAGTTTTTAAGGGTTCATTACCACAGGGGCTTTATTCCAGTCTCCTACAAAATGGAATATTCCCTTAGTTTCAGCCAGGCATACAATTAAATATATAAATGCTTCCACTCTTTTTTTATCACTACCTGTAGGGCTGAATCAACACCAGCATACATACTGTCTCCTTCCAAGACATGAAGTTCTTACACAGCAGTTTGCCTTCAGGAGGCACCCCTCTTCCCAGTGAAAACAGGCTGTGAAGAAAATATTGACAGGAAATGTCTTCCTTCCCCTGGGGAAGCCAAAATAAAACTGGTGTGCATCACAAGAATACCCTTGGAGCAGCCCAGCATCTGGATCACAAAAGTGGATCTTGAACAAAGCTTGACTTTCAAAACTGTATAAAAGCTAACACTGAATTTATTAATTCAAGATTTAATTCATTAAGCTGTGCTAGTAATTATTTCTCCATCTGGCTTCACACTAGTATTATTTATGTAACAGCCATCTCTCTTCACCACCCGCATAAATAAAAAAATCTAAATGTAGACCAATTATTCCAGTAAGATTTTGCTTGGAAGAGATATCCTTGTAAACTATTCACTGTTATTATAATTTTTCTAATTACTGATCTGGATTAATCAAAACAAAAAATTATTGTAAAATACAAACTGTTGATGATCCTTTTAATTATTTCATTGCATACAAATTGATATTAGAGTATGCACTGAGGGAGTTACACATTCAAATCAAGAAGAGAGGTGGAAGAAGCATCATGAGTTGGGACTCATGTTTATGCTCAAAGGGCACTGCAGATGGCAGGTCCCTGAGGTATCATAATCATCTTCACAGCACATTCAAAAAGGACCGAATATGAAAAAACAAATACACTATGAATCACCTAGTTCAGCCAAAAGAAAATAACCACACTGCAAAAGCTGTAGTGTTCCAAGGAGCCCAGTTATTCTGAGACGAAACATACCTGGACTTCCATACCAAAAGGTAGGATGCCGATGATGCTTACGGCTTTGTAGAACTAATTTTAAATCAAATGCTTTCAGCCACTTAAAGATCATTTAACAACAGAAATGTAAGGATTAGTTTTAGATGAGACATGACTTTGTAAAAATCAAAATTGTATTTTGAACTGAAAAATGTTCAGTTGCCTTTGGATCTAAAATGCTGTTCCCCCCCTTTTCTAAGTCTCACTGAAAGCCCGCCCTTCCCTTTGATATTTTACATGTACCAGAGGAGTGCTGGGGAGGTAACATATGCAAACGAAGCACTCCAAGAAGCACTTTTACCTTTTCACCACGAGGTGTGGAGGGATTGCTTTCTGCTCACAAGTTCTGGCATACAGTTTATAAAAGATAACTAATCACAAAACATCAATACTTTTGTCATAAAACCCACAAAATTGATAAATACACATGTCCAACTTTCAAAAAAAGCAAAAACCTTTTAACCAAGTTCTGCCTTAGCTACTTTATTGTTACAGATTTGTTTTTCATTTGACTCTCTGGATTTACCTGTTGCCTTCGTATTTTGCTTGCTGAACAAATGGCTTTATCAGCAGCTCCAGCTTACAAGAAAAATGTCATTTTTTCATAATCTTATGTCCTACACACATGAAAATGTAGCAAGGAAATCTAGTAAAATCTAAAATTAAAAAATAATAAACTACATCTCCCCTTCCTTCTTTCTTCTGTTAAATTAAAATTGGTCATATCTGTATCTATATATTTATCTTTCTATGTAGAGAGAAGAAAAAAACAATAAAGTAACAGAGAGAATTCATTTTTTGAATGTAACACTACTGCCCAGTTTTTCCTTTGCATGACTCTATAGTACTCTGGGTGTGAATCTGATCATCTGTCTGAAACATCTTCTGCCTGGGAAACCCAGAGATTGTTCCAGACACCAGTACTTTATTTTCGACCATAGCTAGAGAGAGATGCTTGAATCCAAGGCTTTTCCTCAGACTTCCTGCAGCTTCTCTGCCAGTCAGAAAACACTAGCAGTAACACCTTAAAACATGAGAATGCATTTCTTCCCATCTAGTGTCCACCCAGTGCGTGCCTAGGCCTAGCACCCTTATCACAACATGCTTGCTGCCACTGTACTTTTAACACAAAATCTGCATAAATTCTAAAATACATAAAATTATAAGCACAATACAGACAAATACAGCAACTGCAACCGCAACAGCAAAGAAGGTAAAGGGAGAAAATGGTGAATACGCCAGTTGTCTCTACACTACAGCTTATCTTTTCCCACCTTTGTAGTCCACTGGCTTTGCATTCTTCAGCAGTTCCATGCACCTTTTTTCCTCCTCGTGAATCTCCAGATGAAACCCGCATTCCGGATGGACACCATTCACCTGTGTCAAATTAACAAACAAGCCAGGGTCTTGAAACATGAATTAAAATGCTTTATGAAGAATGCAACTACTGATAATGAAATCCACGACTTTAACTGGCACTGGTTTTGCCCAAGTATTTGCTAGGCATTTTACAGACACGGTCATTGCCCGTTTTAGCTGCTCACACATTGACTTTTCAAAACAAAATGTTAAAATAATCTACTAGAGCATTCTCTGGCTCCTTCCTGTAGCATTTCAAGGCCAATTGTCGTTTACAAGAAAATATTTAATTTTCTAGTGCATTCACCAATATGAGACTTTTTCCTCCAGAAAAACTGAGTTAAACTGAAGCAGGAAAAAGTAAACACATTTGCTTTTTTTTCCTTTTGTAGTAAGTTAGGAAGCTGAAAGTTTAATACGAATCACAGAACATGAAAAGCAATCAAACTGCATTCTCCTTGACATACTAAATTTTGCTTTTCTTCCCTTTTCCACCATGTATATTTTATCTAGTGAAGGTCCCAGAGCATGATTATTTGATTGAAGCAGGTGCTACAGAGGAAGAAAACCCCACTCCTTTAAAAATGAAAGCACTATTGCCTTTACTCATTTATAGCCCTGCCCCCAGTTCCTTGGCTTTCAGAAAGGGTTATTTATGTCCATGGGAAGAGAAAGGGATGTAGCAGTATTGCGGAAAGGAGCAAGACAGCGGGAAGTTGTATGGAAGTCAGTTGGATTCACAGAGGCAGACAGAGCCTAACAGAGGAACATGCAGAGTCCATAAGAGACTGCATGGGAGAAATGACTGTAGTAGGTGACAAATGGGAAAACAGGAATCGCCACTGGAGCTGAAGGTTCAAATGAAATAACAGCATAATGAAATAAAATATGACTATGCTGTACTTCAAGTCATCCTCACGCTTGTAGTACCAGGAAAGGAGTGGTCTCCCTCCAAGCTTCTCTCTCCCCTTTTCTCTCTCTCACTTTTTCTAGGAGACATTTAATAGTAGAATCTGGTAGTAGTACCTAATTTGTAAGACTTTTTTTTTTTTTTTTATATGGCAATACTTAATTAATAAAGCTGTGATCATGGACCCAGAACCTAGGACCCAGAGTTAGGACTGAGAACCTGTTTATTCTGCAGTCTCCCTGTGGGCAAGCCACTTGCGCAGCTTTTAAAAATACAGTGCAATAGTCGTAAGCATAACAGCAGGAGCTGGTATGAAAACTCACGAAAATCTCCCTCTTCTCTAAATGTCTCATTTCACTCTCAGAACCTTACTTCCTTTTCCACATCTTTTCTCTATATTGACTATTGAAATTATATGTTTTCAGGGCAGATTTTGTTTCTTTTTAAGAGGGAACTTGTACTGATCCTTAAATTGGGATTTCTAGCACTTGCAATAGAAGGTTCAGCATTATACTAAAAAGATACGTGTTTTGTAAATGTATTATCTCCTTTCCAGATAGTCCCATACATACACCATGTTTTTAATTGCATTTTCCTTTCACATAACAGAATTTGAATATTACTTTTTTTCCAATTGCAAACATTCAGTAACTGAGACTAGATTTCGTACTCATCAAGAAATATTATAATTACTAGGTCTTGGAAAGGCAGGTTGCAGTAAATGGAAATGTTAACTAAAAGAGGGGCAAATCAAAGCAGCTACTGCAATTAAGAAACTTGCCAAATAAGTGACTTCTCTCTCTCAAACTTAGAAAGACCTGCAAGTTTCTCAGTATCGCTGATCTAATAGTGAAGGTCACTTTGAGAACATAAATTTGTTAGTACTCAAAGGTAACGCAACATTACTTTTCAAACCCGGGATGCATGCCGATCTGTAATATACTTTGTTCTAATCCATACATAAGTTTCATTCAGATGTACTTCGCCAAGCTAAAGAGATTCAGGGTTCAAGACTATATGGCACTGACCACGTCCCAAAACACATCAAGAGCCCCAGAATGGACTTTGAGGGCACTGACCACCTTTCAGGGCTGGTGCTCATCCATCTTTCCCTCTGCTTTACCAAGGGTAGGTTATCCCTTGTAACCACTGAATGCAGAACCATGTGTGCTATGTTGTGCACTGTCAAGGTGCACGGTTGGCTGGAAATCCAGCTGAGGAGTCTCTCTGCATTTTTAGTGGCTTAACAATTTTTAAGGCATCCAGAACAGCAGTTTGACTGGAAAAACATTTCTCTGACAAGCAGCTTACATTTACCTTCAGCATGTTTTCCCGACTTTTGCTGTTATCTCAAATTTACAGTAATAAAAAATGGAAAGATTTAGAGGGCGGGCTTTTTTATTTTTCGTAAATCACATTTCCAGCAACATTATAGACTTTTACAAAGAACTGAAGAAATGCTTAGAAATACAAAGATGTCAAAAGCAGACACCCTAAATGTGAAGACTTTGATATTCTGAATGCTTTGTACATGATCATCCGGTTGCATATATTGAAGAGAAACTAATCATGCAGGTTTTTTCCCCATATTATCACAGAATCATAGAAGCATTTAGGTTGGAAAAGACCTTTAAGATCATCAAGTCCAACCGTTAACTTAACACTGCTAAGTTCACCACTAAACCACGTCCCTAAGCACCACATCTACCCATCTTTTAAAAACCTCCAGGGATGGGGACTCGACCACTTCCCTGGGCAGCCCCTTCCAGTGCCTGACAACCCTTTTTGTGAAGGAATTTTTCCTGATGTCCAATCTAAACCTCCCCTGGCACAACTTGAGGCCATTTCCTCTTGTCCTATAGCTTATTACTTGGGAGAAGAGAGCGACCCCCTCCTCGCTACCCCCTCCTGTCAGGCAGTTGTAGGGAGCGATGCCTCCCCTCAGGCTCCTCTTCTCCGGGATATAATTACGATCGCTAACGACCCTCTAGACCGTACCAGGGCAGCGCTCTGTGAAGACTTCGCAAACTAGTGGTGGCCACCGGCTGCCGGGGAAAATAGCGGAGAACGAGCGACTCGGCGACGAGCGGCCCGGGGATGGGGACCGGTCCCGGCC